ATGGCAGAAACACGCCAATTCGATACGGGGAAATCCAATAGCCATTCAGTTTGGGACTCCTTACCCGTTGGATTCTGCAAATGTTGCGCGCGTGCTGAGCGTTTGGGAAGTCCAGCCTGCATGTCTGTGAGACCTCAGAGACCTACCTCCTCAACGAGGAACAATACAAAAAAGAAACTGAAAGAACACCATTCTTCAGGGACAACTCTGGTGCTTTCCATTTCTGCAAGTGAAGCAACACTTTGCAAAGTAACATGGTCTTCCAAGTGGGCCAGAGCCTTTTCATTCATTTTTTTTGGGATCATACATGATGACTCACCCCCACATCGGGACACGTGGATCCCACATCGGGACGGTGTGGATGTTCGTTTCCACCTTTCAAGGGACCATCCACGGGACCATCTTGAGATGAGTAAACCTCACAAGTCCCTGCACACGTGGTGCTTTCCCTCCAAGCAGCTTGGGCTTAGCCTCCTCCAGAAGATCGTGCTCATCAAGGTCAGCCTCGGGCCGAATTCTCTCAGGCCCCACCGAGCACCGAACAGGGCGGACTAATTTTTCGGCGGCGACGGTCGAGCCAAGTCGCATGGCATGATGAGCCATGATGACTCCCCAGGTTCTACCGTTTGTTTGGCGGAACTGGCCTTGACATGCCTTGACCAAAAATCGAGGTACATTGAAAATATCAGAACTGTAATTATATAACTGTATATAACCTCAGGCTTTACCCAGCCTAAGTCCAAGTGTCTAGGCATTTGCATCCGGAACTTCTGATATGGAAGAGGCTCAGCGACAGAGTTGCCCTTTGATGTTATACCGTCAAAAGGCAATTGACATGACATCATACATTCATCCACCACCCTGATACAATATTAATCCACCTCCGAGTCCTTCAGCCACAAATCCACACCAACGCATCACCAGGTCACGCAAACTCCCAGGCTGCGTCCCCCTCAGAGGCGCCAATGGCAGCATTCAGGCTGATAATGTCTGGCTCCTAGGCTGGGGCGATGGGGGCCATGACCCGGAACCTGCAGTTGTCAGGGTTTGGTTGTGGTTCTGTGCTTTTGAAGGGCTGCCTACAGCACCCAGTCGATGATGCATTGAGACTGCTCTGGTCATCTTGAAGTTGGAAAGCATCACTAGTGACATGTCGGATCAAAAAGTAATCTCTACAGGCAGGTTGCTGAAAACGCACCTGCCAAGCTGATGGAGGCAAAGGTGACACGGTTGACGCACAGGTGACAAAAAATGACGCGCACAACCGGGCGCACAACCGGGTGCTTTCAACAGTTTGGCCTTTCCGCCCGCGGTCTTCCTGAATTGTGTGTCCCAGTCTTGCAGTCCCACTCTCCCCATGTGTCCAGGCATTCCACAACACTTTTGGTGGGTTGGAGCAGCTCCATCCTTAATCGTTCCATGCTTGGATTGCTCGGGACGTGCTTTGAAATGACCTCTGAGAGTTGGAGATCTCTGACAGGGTCGGACCTCCGATTCCCTCAAACCCCAGTGGATAATGGTTCAGCTGCAGGCCGACATCTCAAACCATGGTGATTTGCTTGTTGACCGACTGTTGCAGGTAGTAGAACACCCACAATGGAAATATTATATAACATGGTATAGGGCACCTGCGAGTTCGGTCGCACGCACCTTCTGTGTCAGCTGTTGCAAACACGCCCCACCATAAAAACATATATATGACATTGTAATATGTTATAACTGCTGGGACATTCTGTTAGGAATAATGGTTGCTTGCCATGCTTGCAGGAGGAATATTACCTTTTTTTATTGTCTGATACAGTGAAGAGTGAATCCAGAATGAGCTGCCCCTTTGAGAACGGTTGTTTTGGGAGAGAATGCGAATTCCAAAAATCATTCTGAAACTTCTGTAGGTGTGTACATTCCTAATCTCCAGCCCCATTTCTGCCAAAGCGCTAGCTGCTGTGCACATGCCTGCCAGCTCGGACACAAACCTACTGTAATTAGTCGTAGTGGTCCCTAAAAACTTATATAGAAGTGGTTTCCAATACATGTTAGATAGAATTTAGAGGAATCATGGGGAATCTACTGTTCTAAGTCTATCGACTTTTTGGGGATCACCATAGTTCTTATGGGAGAATCCCTCATTGGCCTAATATGAGTGGCTCGTTGTCATGCTCAAAGGGACCGCAGCCATCATGGGTCTGAGTGACTTAGTACGTTACAGTACATTGGCAATTCTTAGCAAATGACTCCATACTTTGTCCCACTTCAACTGTTGGTCGGCCAAGTGCCTAGAGGGCAACTGGTTCTTTCAATGAAGCGCAATGATATTTGGGCAAGATAATCTAGTCTGCACTGACGACGTTATACCGCGTTCTCGCATTGAGAATCAGCACGTAAATCGGGGAGTGGAGGTGGCTTGGAATAGGTTCATGTTTCATACCTACAATTGGACAGGATGAAACAACTAGCCCGAAGAGGTAGGCTTTCGCCGGCTCATCTGAAATCTAAACGATTCATCTGAAATCTAAACGATTCATCAAACCAGCCATCTCCGATCTGTACTTTGCGCCTGGAACTACGCTGCGGGTCAGGATGGGTCGATGATGGGTCGGTGGCAATCCCCACGTCCCGAAGAGCAAGTGACCTCTTCTCAGCCCTTAAGCTCTCTCCCTCTCTCTCTCCTCTCTCTTTCTCTCCAGGACACGTCGGTTTCTATGTTTTTTCTATGGAAGGGCAACTGGAAGTGCAGTCATCAAGCAATCTGCAACCCCTCGTTCTCCACCCACAAGCCATATCATCATCGCCTCCAAGAGCTGCAAGGAAACCACCCATGTCCTTGGCGAAGCTGAACCCTTTCCAAGGATAGAGCTCCAGGTCATGGGATCAGTCCTTAGGAGCATCTGACCAACCAATCAGCCACCCTAAGACCCTCCAAAACGTAGGGTTTTGGATGGGTTTTGAGGGCCCAGCCCTGCGAAGGTGTCGGGTCCAAGGATTCCAGGCAGGAACCTCTGCAAAGTCTGCAGCCGAAGATCTGCAGCCCCTTGTGCTGCGCTAAAGCCATTAGACCAATGGCATCTTCCCACTTAGAAGCACCTTGTAGTCCTGCACCAAGACGGACGAACAAATTGCACGTCTCACTCTGCAAGTGCGAAAATGGATCGACACATTTCATGCGAAAAAGGGTTCAGCAAAACGGTTTAGGAATTCTTGAGCACCAGCTGCGAAGAACAGTAAATAAAAAAAGCAACCAGTGAGCATGGTTCAGCTTTTGCCCACCAGGACCAGGATAAATTTGGTTGTCACCAAGCACCAAAGCAAGTCTCCCGAAGGGGAGCGGCTCTCAACACCTATGGCATCTGTCAAAAGGTACGCCAGGGCTTGTTGCAGCTTGCAAGCCAAGTCTTGCAAGAAGGTTACGCAACTCTTACTCTTACGCCAAATCATTTTAGCACCAAGCCGCAAAAACAGCCCACACGTGATCGCTCAGGTAGGGCACACACTGCATGTCCAGCAGAAAGGATTGGCACTTGGCAAAGACCGAGTCCAACAAATCAGTTACATTAGCTGCTGGGCAGCAAGAGCGGCAACGAGTGTCCTTCATGTCCCTTCATTTCACGGAGTTCTTTCAGGAGTTGGCACTGGGCTTCCTCGCTTTTGGTCAAGCACGTTTGGGCCACCGGTCTGATTCTAAAGCAAAACAGGCGTACGCGGGGCTTACGTGGATTTCCAACACCAAAACCATGAAATTGATTGATTGTTCATGGTTGTTCTTCAGTTCTGTACATCTTCTAAGGATCGATGTTCAAGCAAGTTTGTCTATGTACATATGGTCATATAGTCATAATGGTGGCCATAGATGACCATAGTATAAATGTGACACTAAATGTATGCTGAAGCTTGGGCGTGCGTACGCAGCTTACGCAACGCAACCTATCTCCCACCAAAAGCTTAAGCAACCTTGCACACACCACGGTGTTTGCTTGCGCGAGCCAGTCATACATGACAAACCCACCACTAAACATGAACATGGAGGTTTATAGAGTCGCTCCCCTAAACCTTTCCAATGCATTTGCAAACATGCTGGTGCAAGTGTAGATAGTGGATTCCACCCGATGGTCCGACACGCGGCCCTGCCTGCATTCACACAAACCAAGTTGGGAAGCTTCCCGTGCCCCAGCAGCTGCCACGATCTTCGCCAAAGACTTCCTGAGATGCTTGGTGTCGTTGTCCAAAAATGAAGGGGAAGAGTCGAAGACTTGTTTGTTCATGACATCCCTGTGGCTCGCCGAGCGGCTACCCCCTGCTGGAGCATAGCATGCAGCTCCCCTACTCGGGACTTACCAGCCCGATGATCGGCACTTGTCAGATCGAGCGTCGACAGGCACTGACAGCCGTACTGCAGCAAAAGGCGTCTGCTTGCAAGCCTTGAAGTTCCAACACCTTGGTCTTTCTCCTCTCGACATCTCTCGACTACTCCGCTTCGACTAATTACTCGTCTGGCATTTTTGGTCAGTCGTGATTGGTGGCCTTGGGTGGGGCACCAGTTTCTTTGTGGGTACTGATGGGTGCTGGGCAGCGACCCGTTGGTTGGGCACTGTGGCATCCATGGTATACCGATACCCAACCCCCGGTTTTCAAGCAGTTGAGCGAAACGTGGACTGAGATGGCATGAGACTGGCTCCTGCAAATTTGCCCAACCAAACCTCAACAAGCAACTCGGACATGTTCCCACCAACCCTGATTTGATGGTTGCCCACCACCATGGCAACAGGCAAATCCACCTCCCTAAGCTGCCAAACTCAGCCAAATCTGCCAAGTGGCGAGCAAAATCTGCAAAGATTTCATCCAACCTGCACGTTGCGGACGAGTTGCCACAAGTAAATTCCAAAGAAACCACCTGCTCGTCATCAACCCGCCTTCGCGTTGATGCACATCGCTCGTCAGGGAAAAGCCACAATTAAACAAATCATGAAACAGATATATATATATATATATATATAACGACTATATATTCGGCATATCTTTGGGCCATATTCAGCTCACGTCTCCGAGGATCTCCAGGCTGTCCGCTTTGGGGCTCGGTGGGGGTTCGCTCCAAGCCACCCAGGTCCGAAGACGCCGCGGCACCTCAAACGACGACGGCGGAGACACGGTTCACAGGGTCCACCGGGTCCGGCGGGATGCTGGAAGCAGCAAACAAAGAACACATTGGGGTGGTTTTGGAGCTCAATGTATATAGGCATATATGGCAGTCCCATGGAGTGTCTGGTCATAAGCAATCAACAGCAAAAAGTAATCTGGGTTTCTATGTCAATGTGGCCTGCGGAAGGCCCGTGGCTGGCACTTGGTCAACAAGAACGGGTGCTGAGAAGATCTCTTTCGTCCAGCTTTGAACACGAATGCACCAAACTCCAACCATCTCCAACCAATGGAAAAAGGCGGAACATATATAAACAAGCCACAGAATCTGCAAATGTTGGTATAAATAGACTTGAGATGTCTTGCAACTTTTTGAAGATAACATAACCCTTAAACCACTGTTTGAGATGACTTGCAACTTTAGGTATGTCTCAATACATCAGAACAATCCGCGAAGCGAAGCGAGGCGCTGAAGCTCTTGACCTCCGATCTTCGTCGCAGCAACTCCAGTGCCCTGGGCCAGTCCTGGGCGTGGAGCGCTCGGACATCGTACGATCCTCATTTCCAATCAGGAATCAGGGCGGCGCATAAAATCAAAACAAAAAGACATGCGTCTTGAAGGGAAAGTGAATGTTCTATGTATTTTGGGATCCTTATTTCCTCCATCGAACTCAAACATAACCCTTGCTAAAGGCACCCATGTCCACTTTAATACTCAGTGTATATACTATAGCTTAACTATAACTTATTATATAATTACTGGAATGTATGAGACTTGCTGTCATGTTTGCTTATTCGATGGCCATCGAATAGGGTTATACATGCAAAACCTCGCAAAGTCACAGAAAGTTCTCTCTGCTCTAAGGGTCATCCGGCTGATCGGCCACCACTTGGGAAGAACCGAAACGCCTTCAATCCCCTGACAGCTGCTTGCTTTCGGTATATGACCTGTTATGACCCTTAAAGCTGGCCACATTTTGCATGTGCTGGCCACCCTTCGGCATGCCTTGATGACCCCGTGGTAGCTGGCTCTTTCGTCAACTCCACTGCAACGCATGAGGTCCAACATGTCGATGGCCAAAGTCCAGTCATTCCGCGCACGCAAAGCCGCAGCACCAAACAAAACGCAGCGATAGTGCACCTGCTGCGGTTCCGGGTGAAAACCAACAACGACATGGATGGACAATGGACATCCATGGAATAGGTGTCGACCAACCGCAAGAAACAAAGCTCCACAAGTGTCTACAGAAACTCCAGATCCAGCCATGGATGCCTTTTATCCGTCTCAACCAAATGTAATTTAGCCTTGTAGCTTGGTCCCCCCTTTCTGAGTCATGTCAAAGTCACTACCATGCCGAGCGGGTCGGCGAGTACAATACAATGGTATAGATTACACTAAAACCATACCTGGGTCAACCTCAGTATGCAAAAAAAAAGTTGCCTCAAAAAAACATATTATATATATATGTAATCAGAGGGGCTTGCAAAAATGACTCCCACTTTTTTTTGACTCTCAGTTTCTTGTTTCTGACGCTATTGATACTCAAGAAGAGGGGGAGGAAGAAGATGAAGATGTTCTCAGGAAGAAGAAGAAGATGCTCTCAAATTTCTTCATTTAAGATGCTAAAGCTGAGGGGGAGGAAGAAGAAGAATAAAGTGATGATGATGATGATGATGAACACAAGTCCAACCCAACCCCCAACCTCCAACCCATCACCCAACCCACAACCCAAAGCTGCACGCCAGCTGGTGGAGAGGCAAGTCCTGGCAATCACAGCGTTCAGTGATGAAACGTGTTATCACTAAAAGGGATCCGCTCCGCACAGCTCATTTTCACCCTCACATCGACATGTCATCGCTTTCCGCAGTCACATCGGCGAGACAAATCAGGTTGAAGCCGCACTGATTGAATCTGATCTCTTCGTTGGGACCTCGAATCTCGAATGTGGCAAAGAAAACATGTGACAAAAACATGTAACAAAAACAACTGTTGGACAAGGGGCCCAAATGAAAGAGCGGTCCTTCCACCCATGGTGCAATGTGATACATCTTTCCGCCGATTGGGGCCGTGGTATGGTATCCCACATCCTGACCAGGAGCATATGTGCAGGTTGCAGTCACGATGAGAGCCACTACCTTCCCTGCCTTGATATCCATCTTGTTGAGAGTCTGAACAGCTTCCATCGCATTGCTTGATTTGCTCAGCATAGATTCACACTGGTTGTACAAGAACTCTTGGGTCTTCTCCCAAACATACCTCGAGTCAAAAACCGGACCCTTGACACAACGGAGACATGAACGACAAAGGAATGCTGTCAAGTAACTTCAGTGTCACAGAGTGCCTGATGTTCTCCAAAGTCACACGGCTATCAAAATCATCACTCCTTGGTGTCAGACTCATTCACTTGACGCACTTAAGAAATCCGACGGCCGAGTGACCCCGGCTCTTCCTGCGTCAAATGGTCTCTCCTGGATAAAGTGATCACGAAGCGCTGCAACCTGAAGAAGTACACGGAAACACTGAAAACCAAAACCAAATTCATTCAACACGACAATCATTACAGAATCTTGCAGTTGACACCTGGGCACTGCTCCATCTTGGCCAGGCATGACATGTCATCCAGCTGTCTCACCAGCAACTCAAGCATGAAGGTTTCAGCATCGTCAAGGTCAGACATGGCTCTCTAACAAGACCTGTCAGAACCTGCTCGACAAGGGTCTGCGGAGTGAGGGCAAAGATATGGCACATCAAACTCAAATCGCAGTATTTGACTTTGAACATGAAATGCTCCTTTGACATGACCGTTGAGGACCTTTGACCTGTGACTTTGAACAGCTCCTTTGACACGACCTTTGACCTCTGACTATTTGAATCTGAATCTGAATGCTGAAAAAATGAGTGTTCTTGAGGAAAAATGCTGAATCTGAATCTGAGATCGCCAACTTTTCCAACCCCAACCTCAAGATCCCAAAGGCATCATCAAGCGATGCGTTCTGTACAAATTTCCTCGCTTGGTGGATGACAGATTCAGCCCCGTGATGTCGATGCGATGCACATCCATCACATGATCAAACACTGAGAACGGGATGAGGAGGCTGACCGCATCTCCCTCCTCATCCTGCTCGGGATCAAAGTCCCAAGCCAGCACCTTTGATGCCGGTTGGAGCACCGAAGGCAACGTCAATGTCTCGTTGAGTGAGACATCGTCTGCAGGGATCCAGGCGCCGAAAATGTCCAGGACCTTCTTTTTGCGCCCGGCTCGCATGTTCATCTCTGGTGAACGTGTTGGATGGTACCACGCAAACCTTGGTTTGTGGCTGTCAATCAAACTGCTCCACCTGAAAACTTGAATTGCCAAACCGTTCAATGCCTCCAAAGAACAATCCCTGCTCTTCGCCATCGTAATTTACCAACTCCATCAAAACTCCGAGAACGATGGGCAGCGTTTGATCTTTGCCAGCCACAACACAGAAGTCGCCAGGGCCAATGAAAGCCTTCCTGGCAGGTGCTCGCGACTCGTCCAAGCCTGTCATGGTGACAAGAGAATCCTGAGGCAAGTGGCCGATGTCAGCCCCCATCGAAATTGAGTAGTAGATGTCATTTGGGATTTCCAGGGGGTCTGGCTCTCTGGCGACAAGCTGGCACGGGCCCAAATGAGCACTTCTCAAATCCGAAATCATAGTCTCCTCAGTGCATATGAATGAACCCACCCAACCAAAGATCTAACATGTCGCAATAATAATTTATCATCAAGCTTCCAGAGATGGGCCAGCATCTGGTCCATCCAAATAAGCCCGCAATTCACGAAGTTGCTCCCTTGCGACTTGGCCCGATGCTGCCAATGAGGCTTCCTTAGGCCAAGATCAGGCAAAAAACTATAGAAATCACGAATCATAGCTACAAATGCCCAAGCTTCCAACTTGTCTAAGAAGTTCAAGTGCTTCGCCTTTGATTGCTCATCAAACTCATGCTTCACCAAAGGCGGTTTTGCCGTGGCAAACACGGCAACGCGGTCATACTCAACCAGCAAACGTGGTGTTGACCATGACTCATCTGACACGTATTGCCTCCACTTGACCCAAATCCACATATTGTCCACATAGAGCCGGAGGGAGTGGACATTTCGATATCGGTGAAGCTCGATGCCATACAAGGTGCGAAGGTGAGTGAAGTCGTAGCTTGAACCGTGGTGGCTCCAGTTCATGGCAAATGCCTTCAATGACTGGGAAGAGATAGTGGCCATTTCGTCCATTGTGAAATACGTTCGCCCCCTCAACGATGTAATCAATCTGGAAAAGAACCGGTCCAGCGATCCGTGAGTGTGTCCCACCAGCGGGTATTGAAATTCCACAGCCTTCAACTCAGTGCCATTGTGAAGGGTTGCCAGCAGCCAAATGGCCCAGCGTACGCATGTACTGTTCTTGGTCTCTTTCGGGGTGTTGTCGGCCCCCACATACAAGCACTGTGGGAGCCGGCCCTCTTTCATAGCGGTACGATGGAGTTGCCTCGTGAGCATTGTTGCCTGAGAGTTGGCTCCATGGGAGGCGTTCTCCAAGGTGGTGGTCAGGCAGAACTCATCCTCACCTCAGGCACTCTGCGGAGCTTGCGTGAAACAAAAGCTGCAGAAAACTGATTTTGCACGTGTATCCAAGATGCGCTTTGGGCCAGCGTAATGCACACCCACAACGCCAACAACAAAGCGCTCCCCCAGCTTGAACAACTGTGTGGCAAGCCTTGGTGGTGTTCAAGACGCTTTCTGAACAGCAGGAAAAATGACACAGTAGCAAATATTGAAATCAGTAACATATCATGAACGCATGGGAGGATGGTCTTGTTCTGGTCACACTTGTCAATTGACAAGTACCTGACAGCAAGGGTCAGATGGTCAGTGGCAATGTCGCGCATCAAAATCATTCACTGCTGACATTCACACGCCCTCAAACAGAGGTCACCAATCTTCTCCAGTTCGCCGGCACATCTCTTGACACCTTGCAATTGCCAGCCGCTGCGCTGCCTGGAAGGTGTAGTGTCTTCCTGGAACCAATCACGAATACCTATGCAATTCAAGTCAGTCAGTCACAGTCAGGCAGTGAATCACAGTCCTAATCGCTTCTTCACAGCGGTGAGAATCTGGAGTTCACTTCTCGGGGTCTTGTCCAACATGTTCTTCAGAAAGGTGCAGGCCGAGCAAGCGGTGAACATGGACTCCTTTGTTCAGCACAAATGAGAAGTCACATGGCTTATGCCTTCCGACAATCAACTTTACGGCTTCAATCGAGAATCTGATTTGGCAATGCGAACCCAAGGCAGCTCGTTGGTCCAAGCTTTGCGAAAGGTCGATAAATCCGCAGGCTTTCCATCCAAATGCCCCAAATTTTGCTCACTCCTAGGTGTGACATGGTGTGACAATTTGTATGAACATGTCACGCATCACCCTTTGGTTTCACATACTTGGATTTGCTACTGACGTTTTTTCTCAATATAGCCTAAGGTTCCTCTCAAAGTCATACTGCGAATGGTAGAAAAACTTCCTGCCCGCTGGAAGATAGATCTGGAGGCTCATCGGTGAACGCTCCCCGTGCGTTTCAGCATATGTTTCGATCCACTGTCTGCTGTCCAGGTAGCGGTGGGCCTTTGCTTGATTGCGGATTGCCGTCCAGGCAAGGGCGTCACTACGCCAAATGCTCACCACTCCTTTCTCGATCTTGTTACGAATGTTCTGCAAGGTTCCACTGGATATCCCTGTAAGCTTTTGAAACGCCCTGCTGCAAATCCTCACTCCAGCAAACTTGAAGGTCCCAGGGTTGTCCTTGACTAAGTCTAACAGCATCTGCATTCGCCTGTCCCTGGGGAGGCTGCTCCAAAGAAAGCGCCAGTTCCTGAGTTTGGTCCAAATCACAGCTCAGCTTCGATAATGTTAAACCTGGGCGTCTTTCGGCGCTTTAACCGGGCCACTTCACGATTGCAGGGTTATCCACGAAGGTGCTCAAACATTCATGGTGTTCACGGCCAATAGCGCACTCACCTGCAATGTCTTTTTCCTTGGTTGCACGAGTCGATTGTTCATGTGTGGCAAGCGCTTTGAATCTGATTACTGACTCTGATTCGCAAGCGGTTTTCTTGACTTGACGCTGAATGACAAA